TTTTTTAATTTGTGACCTTTCAAGTTTTATTAATTGTTTCATTTTTTAATACAGGGGTCGGCATTAATTTGTTCCGTAGCAATGGGATTACCAGTATCTGGTTTTCCAAACATGAATGCTATAATGATGGAAGATGAGATGGGAGTACGGTATCTCAATACTTTTGATTTTATAAAATCTGGTATACCAGGATCGGTGTTAGGTTTAGCGTCTATAGCTACAGTTGGTTATGGATTAATGTTACTTATTGGATTTTAATTAAGTTATATATTTTATCATCTTTTATAGTATAATTTACCAAATTATGTCAAAAATTATTATTATTATTATTATTAATAAAATAAGTAAAAAAATAAATATATAATTTTTAAATAGTTAAACTATGAAATTAATCTTGTTTATATACAAATTTTTACGGGTCCTTTACGATGATCATATAGTGTTGCATCTGATATTGCGATTTTATTATTTTATTGTTTTAAAATTCAAATTTGAAAAATAAATTAAAAATGAATCAAATCATAGTGAACTAGATTAGAAAGGCATCGGGCTCATTTTTCGAGTGAAATATTTGCAAGATTGAGTTTCTCCTGCTTAAGGTCTACTGATTCTGAAGAAGGGGTTAGTTATATGCTTTCTTTTTGCAGTAAAAAAGTTTTTGAAGAATGAAATTATTTATAAGTGAGTGGGCCTATTTCTACTAGACTTTCCTTTTTTTGGTTTTACAAATGCCACACTTTTTTGGATCAATACACATGAGCTAGTAGTTTACCGACAGTGCATGCTGACTAAAATTAACTAAATCCACCTACCCTAACCCTAACCCTAATCCTAATCCTGGCCACTGAACTGTTCCTAAGAACTGTCCGTAGCTTCTGCGTACAAATATACTCAAAGGACCACAAGGTGCTAACCTCCACGTGGTGTGATCCGGATAACAATTGTCTGGGATGAAGCTGATATTTTATTATGAAATTTTAAGAAATTTTCGGGCCTTTTCGTTAGGGTTTTTCTTTAGGGTTAGGTTAGGGTTTAGGGTTAGTGTTGTTAGTAAAAAAGTATATGTGAATTTTAGTAGGTATTATAGATTTGAATGGGGACTCTAAATTTCAGCATCAGCTAATTTCAGCATCATCCCCGACAACAATTAATAGCATCAACCAAATTTGTAAATTGGAAAAATGTTTAGATCGTGTAATTATTATACAACACAATATTTAACTGTTAATAAAGGCCCAGGTAAAAAAAAACCATCATTGATACTGTATGTAAAATTTAAATTTTTTAATTATTATAATAAATAGTTTTAATTATTTATCGTTGCTCGAAATTTAATTGCACTGATATCGCATAATCAAAAAATTTTTTTTGCATAAAAATGCATTTTAATTTGCACGAGTCTGGACACTAGTTGAAAATCCAAATTATGTACGTACGTACGTACGTACGTGCGTAGTAAATGTTATTATTATGCTAATGTAATCTAGTATTCGAGTATTCGTGATATTCACAAAAAAATCTTTTGCTTGTTATTTTCAATCATTTCGAAAACAGCGATAATAGACCCTATAGAATTAATTGATAAAGTTACAGAACATTTAAAGTAATATTAATAATATAATTTGGTATTATTTTATAAAAAAAAAACCACCGACAAATAAATAATCTATATATAATTGTAATTAAGTTTTTGTAGTGTCCATGCAAATAACTCATTTCCTACGTATAATGCTAAAAAGCCTTTTTTTTTTTATTAATAATATTAACTGGTTTTGTATTATAATATGTCAACTGCACTATGTATAATGTTATTTAGCATATATATATATATATATATATATATTATATCTTGGATTATAATCTTCTAATGCGAAAACAATTAACAAATAAGATTTTGTCATGTGATTGATAGCGTGAAAAAATATTTTAACCGTGCCAAATAAGCTATAAGGTCTAAATTTTATATCAGTTCAGTATAGTAAATATTAACTTCGAAAAAACTTTTTCAAAATATTCAGTTCGTTATAAAGAAAGTTGACATAATTCAGAAGAAATTTTAAATTTAAATACAGTATAACACCTTTATTTGGAAACTATAAAATTTTTAATTTTGCTTTACTACAATTAATTTCGCTATAAATCACTTATTATTATTATTATTATTATTATTATTATTATTATTTTATTAAAAAAAAATTTATTATATGCGAAAAAATGAATACTATATTATGCACACCGCCAGTTATAATTGCTGGCAAAACCTAGATAAATCAAAAACCCCCGAAACAATTGCCATTTATAAAAAAATCTTCTGGTTAATGACGTCCTTCGTTGTAATCCACTCAAATCGAATACACTTAAAAACGTTTGAAAAATCGTGACTTTGTAAGTTTCATGTTAATCAAAATAATATTTAAGCTCAGATCAAATTTTAAGCAGTGATTACGTACCTGATTTCTAAATGAGTTGAACCACGGTATACTAAGAATAACCGTGACAGTAGATTCTTGGCTTTTATGGAAACCTATAAACGGAAATAAAATTTATTAATATATTATTGTAAAACTAATAACTTTAAATTATGCTTATCAAATCATTACCATCATCGCCATTATCTTTGTCATCAAAACTGCAAATTTTTTAGATTCCTATAATAAATACTGTATCAAATAACACTTGATGAGTAGATATTCGTCATTATAGGAAGTACGTAGCCAATCCCTCTTCCAGAACCAGCAGGCTCCCTACTCGAAAAGTCTCATAGGAGTTAAATTACACGCCCCCGTCTCCGCCGCTTTCATTAGAATCATCGTTATCGTCATCATTATTTTATCATCATTATCTCATCAACATCATCTTTTTCTTTCGTTTTCGCATCGTCGCCTCTTTCGTTTTCATCAACATCGTTGTCTCTTTCGTTTCATCAGCATCGTCGTCTCTTTCGTTTTCATCAGCACCGTTGTCTCTTTCATCCTCCGAAAGACGGGGTGCAATTTTCTCCTATGGTCCATTAATATTTTTCACAAAGAGGCTTTGATTAGCTAGAAAGGAAGGACGTTCACAGTAAGCGCACCATCGTCAGTGGCCAATCTGACTATCAAGTATGACTACTTGACGGTAATTTGCGCTAACTACTGTGGCCACGATGCGCTTCCAGTTCCTTTCTAACTAACTTACTAACTTCAACATGTAAAAATACTAACCTCCTTCATTCTGTCTTGAGTCTTGGTAAACTACGCGTCGAGTTTCGCGTTGACTTCTTTTAACGCAAGGGAAACGAAAGTATTATAACTGAATATTGAAAAAATAAAAATACAAAAAGTGTTGAAAATTTAGCTTAGATAATAAAAAATAAAGGGTAAAATTTTTTTTCGGGAAAATGATTGTTGGGAAAAATGACGCGAAAATGAGAAAGAAGAATTTAAAAAAGTTTTACAAAACACGTGCAAGGGACTTTCAAAAAATGAAACTGTTTAACCGCTTTAATAAACAATTAAGCAGTTAAACACGAGTTTTAATCACGTGAATTTAATTATGTAATCGAGTTCGAAACCGATCTTTTGAGCAAGTTTGTAATTTTTGCGAAATAAATTTATAACCACTTATTTATTTATTTGATGTTTTCTTAGAACATTAGTTGTAACTATTACATATTCAAAGATAATGCAATAATTTATTATGTACAGTATTGTTTAAGTAAATCTGCAATTCGATAATGCTACGTATAGAATTTTTAATAGAAACCAGCAAATATTTTTAATAAGTTTTTTTTTAAAATTTTAAACAAGAATAACTTAACAAAAACTTGATCAATTTCAATAATTTTTTTTTAAAAAATTAATTCTACAAATCTGTAAAAATTATTTGAAAAAAATTTTATTAAATTTGGTCAAGTTTTTGTTAAGTTATTCTTGTTTAATTTATAAAAAATTTTTATTATAAAAAATTTGCTTGATTTCTATTGACTCACCCACATGTATCGAGTCATTTTTGCATAAATTATGTTACTTAACGTTATTAGATAAAGAAATTAAAGCCAAGCATAAGCCAGAGGTGCAGTCTGCTTCACTTCTAATTTAAAGAAAAATGATTCCTTGTGTTCTAATATAAATTCGCAGCGTTATAATATCAGTTTTGGTATGTTAAGGTTATATTTATTTAGTTTTTCAGCATTGAATAAAAACTCAGAATTACAAGATACATACAATATAAGAGGATGGTAATTTATTTTAAGTTCCGGACACAATGCTACTCATTAACCTAATAATTAGTGATTGTCGATATAAATTTCACATTTTATTTAAATGGAGTTTTTTTAGCATACTAATTTGACAATTTAAAGCTACATAGATATGCATAATTTCTGTTTACCGTATTGCGTAATAACGTGCGTTATCTTACCCAAGTCAGAAAATACCGACCCGGGCTGACCTGGGTTATAACCCGGGTCAACGGGTCAGACGAAAATTCATAAAATTTTTGAAGTTAATCCTTAATTAGAGCCGTTATTATAGAGAACACCAAATATTTAAACGAGTTTTTCGGATTTTTGAATTGAAAATTTTCTACTTCGGGAAATACGTGATCCTTCAAGAAGCTGACCCGCACGGGTCAGACGACCCGGGTAAGAGCTTTAGTAGACATAATAATATTATGTCTACCCATATCGATATAGTTATATTAGGTAAATTGCGTAAGACATATTTTGAATTCTGACCCAGGTTAGAACAATTTTCGACCCGTGACCCGACCCGGGTAATAACTTTATTGTTATTTCGAAGTTCGTATCACCCAAATATAGTATGGTCTCGAAATGACGCCCATGCTTGAATCAATGCAAATTGACCAACTACTAAATGCCTTTCTATGTCAGGCGATCGGTCTTTAACGTTAACCCAAAATAACGCACATATACTCAAATAACGCATTGATGGGCATTATCGTTATGAGAAAATACGATAACAAATTTAGCATTAGTTTGGTTATTATGATAAAGATGAGAATAACATTAATGCTGCTACTACATACATAGACTATTATAATATTACAGCAGAACACGTTACTGTGTTAATTAAATACGGACCATTTTTTGTATTATCTTTTAAGATTTCTATAACAATACTGGTTAACGTAAATTATGCTTAGCAGCCCGATCATAGTCAGCTGACGGATAATATATACTGGGTGGGTGAAAAGTCTCTGTACAGGTCCCTTTTTTTACTATCTCCACTAAGATTTATAGTACTTAATTTTAAATACAATTTATATATAATAATGCAATGATTACTATTTTAGTGATTAAAAAAAAAAAGGGACCTGTATAGAGACTTTTCACCAATCCGGTATATTAAATTATCACGTTGCATGATTTAACATAAGTAATTACCTTGCCAGACAGATTTTAAAAAATCTGTACCATTTTTCCACTACAAGAAAATAACATTTATGAATCATTTTACTCATCAACCCTATATATAAAACCTCCTCATCCTTCAAATAATTCAATTTTTAAAATTCATTTCTTCGTAAAACCCTTTTAATCGAATTATTCGATAAGCTGATTTTATCAAATTTCCTATATAAACTTTCAAAATGCCATAAAAAGTCCAGCATCACTAATAATCAAGAGCGAAGTCACATGGCCTCCAGAATTTACAATTCTCTGGAAAGCTTGAATTGTTTTTTCATGCTCTGCGATTATTTTTCGAACCTTTACCATATCTTTATTATTATTATTATTTTCTGTTGAATCTACTTTGGGGAGGGAGGGTTTAATTGGCAAACTACGTGTATTATTAGTTTAGGAAGTTCTAGAGTAATTAGTTTAAGTGTATATTGTAAAGACAAACTTGATTACTGAATCAATAATCGCGAACAAACTTGCAATAAATCGAATTGTAGAACATACAAATTAATATATTTTATAAGATCATTGTACTTTCCAAACTCAAATACTGTAAAAAAGAAAAAAATTTTATATTAAGACCCCGGACCTCAACAGTTTCCGTTTTCTAGTATAAAACAGTTTAGAGCTTACTAATTTCCCACCACTTCTGATTGGTTCTATTAATTATTCACTTATTGGAGTACTGTGCTATTAATTAATTTTATAGTAATCCGATAGTGAAGTGGTGGGAAAATTAGTAAACCCAACAGTTTATTGAAGCTGGGACTGGATTCTTGATATCTATCTTTTCCGAACTTTTCCGGTTTAGATTATATTACTAGCCCGAATTAAACATATGCTACTTTCAATTCTGCCGAGAGTTCGTCGCTGCCATTTTATACCATTTTGTACTAAAAATTTCGTATTATTCATATCAACATATCAAGTATATATGTGAGTTTTCCACGTCTTCTGGTTAAGGCTGTTAACGGAATGATCCAGAGTGGGTGCGGTGTATACTCTGCCAGAGTAACCATTAAAACCACTCCAGATTATAAACTATATAATTTCACCCGGAGTATGTTACTCCGGATTAAATTTTATAATACATTTTAAAACGTCTTGCTAATTATAGTTTAGAATTTGATATCTAGAACAATTTTATTTACTTAATGCTGAATGTCAATAAAGTTCTTTATTTTTAATATACAACAATTGATAAGATTATTTATATTTTTAAACTGGAGTAGTGTTAGTAGTAGTATAAACTATTCTATAACAATCCGGAGTGGTGTAACATACAAACCACACCGGCATGGCTCCTAAATTACTCTGGAGTATAATACTTCTACCCCGAAAGATAGTAGCCAGTGTTTGTTGACCTGAATATAGTTATATATATAATATTTGCTGCCAGTACTATATAATTATCTGAATGGCTTGAGCTGAGGGAAACGAAGTGGAAGCCTTAAAGCCATACTCTACGATTTTTTAGAAATGTCCGGTTCCCGGTTCAGCTGGTC